TGATGGTTTCTCAATTCCAAGTGACGGTTTCGCAAATGAAAATTATGGTTTCTCAAATCTTTCTGAAAATCATAGTCATAGTTGTCGGATTGGGATCTCGAGGTTATTCCCTGCCTCGGTCAAGACAACTGGGAAGTGTCATGCCAACGCAACTTATGAACACATTCTTCAGATTTTTTTTCATATATTGTGGCACATTCGTGCGTTCACTGTTATTGGTTACGTGTTGAAATAAATAAAAACCGACACTAATGAAATGGTGCTTTTTGTGAGTGATTATGTCGGTATGGAAAAGTTTGTCCCGTGAAATCGCGTAGCATTTGGGTTACCACATCCTGTGTACTCCCGTGACTAGGAAAGACCTAACCGCAGTCTGCAATTGGCACTGTGAATGAGGTTCTCCGAATCGGAGAAATATTTCTAAACCCCGGTGAGATGGTAAGCTTTCTTTCCCGCGTTTGGTGACTTGATTTTCACCTGTGTCTATGACCTGTGTGTTCTACTAGGGCTTGCGAAAGCAAAGTTCTGGGTAGACACCATCTTGTTTTCAGCTTTTTCCCACTTCAATTGGAATTACCGAACGCAGGTTTACTTCGCCAAAGCTATTTATGTGCCTTTCCTTTCACACACACATCTACGTGCACTACACGCCCTCCCTTTTTCGACCCCCTGTTTTGGTCACATCAGGTTTCGACAGTGAATTGAATCGGAGCAACTCGTTCAAGGAGACCAGCTCACTTCCTCGTGCACTGACTCGGTGCCTTGGTGCGGTTTCAGTCCTATCGGGCGAGTCCAGCCCATCCGGTTCGCCGTCCGTGAGCGAGGTACTGGCCTATGCAGATTGGTTAGGCGTAGACGCCCGCCTCCCATTCTCCCGCTATCGTAGTCCAGAAAGGTGTGATTGGTTTTCATTTCTCCTTTTGTTTCGCTTTTCAACACGAATATTTTTGCCATTCATCTTGGGAAAAATATTTATTGAAGGGATAGTTTGGTTCTTACACTACCGTGATCATTAGATTTCATTCTTCTAATGGTGTCCAACTAGAATAGCAACAATAGTGAGGTAAACTACACATTCTAGGTCGCATGCTACTGCTATGTTTAGGGACCGTGAAGAAAAGATTCATGCGCTTTAGGGGACAAATAGATGCTTACATTCCAGTTGCAAATGTACACTTGCAGTCACATGGAATAAAACAGTCCAATTCATAGACCGTGGAAAATATCGCTGAATTGCGGTTTATATACACCAATTGTGACGTAATTCAATAACGAACTGTTCCTTGTTGGTTGGTAGTCAGGATAGAGAAGTTCTTATAAATGCTAATACGGCAAGGTAAATACCCAAAGAGGAACGTGTGAACGGATGAAAGCAACTAGAGGATAAATCAAGGTGCAGTGGCTCAAGCGGGTCTTCAAGAATCTTATTGACAAGCTTAATGCAAGAGTTGATCTGACCAATAATAATAATAATTATAATAATATCTGTGATAGTGAGTCCACGAAAATTAATGATACACAACTGGTTATCGCCAAACCACGATGCATGGTTTTGAAGTTCTGTTCTGAAGGATCGGAAAACGATTCAGGATAGCAACACATTGAAATTGAAAATGTGTTGGCGAACAAAGAGGACAAAACAGACTGTGAGGATCAGAATTGCCCCAGCTTCCGTTACAAAAGGAAGAGGCTTCTAACTTTCCTGGTACAATTATAGGCAACCGGAGATTACTGCGACTAGTGACACCCAGGTATCTGATAGAGGTCACTCTAGACAAAGATGCAGTTAAGGGTATCAGAGTCCGTTGGAAATGTATATCGGGGAAGACCAGACAATTTTTGATGTGTGCAGTGGGTCGATTGGGTAGTATGCTTGCGTTCTACCGGTGAAGTCCCGAGTTCGATCCCCAGTTGGATCGATGAATTCGCACTGCTGGTGAGACCCAATCAAGTCGAAACAGCTGATCAGTGCTTCCTAGCTTTTCAAGTCACGCCTTATTTACACATCGAATTCATCATGTATGATGTTGATTGCTCATTGACTTATGGACCATTTCCTCAACTTAGATCGATAGTTGCTGGATTGAGCTTCCTGTACGCATTGTTTTCAAAGTGGTCGATAACTGTTTGAAATTCATAACGGTTGTTCCTTTTTTCACCTGTGTCAGATCACATGTTCTCCGCCTGTGCATGTGGCCCCTGGACGATTCCGATGAGGCTCAAAGACGTGTATTCCTAAGGTTAGCTGATCATCTAAATATTTAAAAAATAATAACAATAATCATCCATTCTCATTCACTGCTCACAACACGTATCAGTCTGACCGTTCTGCTGAGGCGCTCGGGTAACACTACGTTCACTTCACCCGAATCGAGATTTGGAGGAATCTGCGTGCATGTATACAGACGGTTGCATGGACAGATGTCTGCATTTCAGTAAAAAAAACACGTTTCATCGAAAGAATGAAGTAATACGAGTAAAACATTCAACCTCCAACATTGCTGAGGAATTCACAAAAAAAACCACCGTCGGTTTGCAAGGATTCTAGCTAGATATGGAACTGTAAAATTCCTGCAGAGGTTAATGAGAGAGGGTAATAAACGATAGTTGAAAGCGGCATTTTGATAGATCGCGATGCAAAGGATATGTGGCGTCGGCGAGGATTTTCTGTGCAAATGTTTCACATGCAGACAAGTTTGGTTCACACAGTTTTTGACATAGATCATCCATGGGTATAAACGATACACGACTAATAATCGATGATCCTAAACGGCGTCGTTCTTGAGTAGACCAGCAAAATCCATGGGAGAACAATAAACACATTGATAGTCAAGTGACCTCACAAATTGCTGATAAACAAAAAGCGAAATTATTTTTTAATATATCAGGTCCAAATAATGTTAGGAGTGTTTCAAAAATCAATGCGCCATGTGTTGTTTTATTCTGAATGTTATAGTTACAGCGATGTCGGTAGAGAATTGTATTCGCCGACGTTTCGGTTACCGTCGGTAACTCATCTCAAGGCAGGTTTTACAATCAAATTATTTCTGTTCGGCATTGAATTGTTTAATTGTTCAAAGATAACAAGGTGATCCACAAAGTTTCTCTGCGCAGTTGTAAATATGTCTACTTTGAGTTTTTATCAATGGTAACTTCTAAATACTTGATAGAATGTACTCTGGTTAGAAGATGGTGTTTATTACTGAGGAGTTACGGGGATAAACGGATCGATAGAGGGTAAAAATGCATTAGAAGCACTTAGATAAATCAATAGTCCAGAATCAACGAAAAATTCAGTTGTTCGATGATTGTTGGAGAAATTTAGAAGCTCGTCAGGCATAGCAATGGCTTGGCAAGGGGATACATCGTCAGTGTATTTAAACAATTGTGCTGGAGCACTCGTTTACAGGTAACTGATATAGGTAGAAAACAAGAACGAAGAAAGTACCACTCTCTGGAGCCCTCCCGAATTTCTCATGATCGGTTGAAATGTTTTCGTACCCAGACCAATATGCTGAGTTCTATTTGTGAAGTGGTCATCAAACCACCCCATTAGGTGCTTGAGAGAGCCAACCGATTCCATTTTACGAAGAAGGAGGGAACGTGGAACAGACTCAAATGCCGATGAAAAATCTTTCAGATTTCGCCAATACTTCTAGGGATTTGATAACGTAGTGAGCAAGTGAGGCCACAGCATTCAAAGTAGATCTGTTTGATTTATACGAAAACTGGAGAGTCCTCGGGGGCATTGAAAAAAGCAGTTAAATGTTTGAGAATGACACGTTCTGCCAATTTAAGACCATATGGTGTGAGGCTTGGATAGAGTGCTGGATCTACACAGTTTGGGAATTGGAATGATAGTGACGGTTTTTCAGCAATCGGGGCTAGAATAGATGCAACAGGATGTGTTGAGCAAAGAAGTAAAGGCGTCCGCTACAGCAAGGGCACCATATTTTAGGAGGGATAATTATAGACCGTCGGGACGGATGCCACTGGATGACTTGGTTGTATGAAGGAACTTGAGCTCTTCTCTCGAGGATGAAGTCATATTACTCGCACATTCCGGAATCCATGAGACAGATGGATCACTGCTCGAATGTATAGATGCACAGTTTATATTGTCAACGTACACGGCACAGTTAGCTATTCTGGATTTCGTTCCACGTAGGATTCGAACACTTTTCCATAGATGTCTCCTGTTGTGGCTGCTTCACTCTAACTACACGAGGTTATGTATTTTTCACGCAACCGTTGTACTGCTAAAAGTATACTTTAATTACATAAGGTGGTCAACCGGGAATAGTTAGACGTGACTTCATTGAACAATTTTTCGCGGAACACTCGCGGCGTTATTCGAGGACGTGGAGCGTTTTCGCCTGACAGATGATCGCTTTGTAACAGAAGACCGCAATTGTTCACGCCAAACATTGTGGCATGCGTTTATCTGAACTAAATGAGGCCAGTCCGATCACCTAGTCGACCGACACAGGTAGCACTTAGCTATTCAAGGCGTGTTCTCAAGAACCATTACCGAGTGATACTACCTGTTACATTGTACGAAACCAATTAATCTTCAAACAAAAGCAATTCACACGGGAATAGAAGTTGAGTCATCATTGCGCACTTTCCGTGATCGAAATAGAGAGCCATAAAGGAGATTGGGATTTCTCCCAAAAGTTCTTGTTGAAATAATCGGTTTCGGAACCTTGGGTCCGTGCTGATTTTCTTTCAGGACTAAAGTTCTCTAAGTTTGGTTGGTTGCCTGCATTCCCAACTCATAATGTCTCCTAACTCGTTCCGTACACATGTTTTCTTACCCGCAGTCTTTGTGCCAGTGGCCAATACGAACGGGCCGCCACGATGGCACTGATCAATCTGAAATTCAGTTGGGCACTCAGCTATCTGAACCGGGCATCGGCAGGTGAGTTTTTCCCTCTATTTTACCAACGCACATGGTCAGTTCCAGGAGATTTTCACTCTGAATTTCTAAATCCGTGTAATAAATCCTGTGCTTTACGCCTTGGATATGATTACAAAGCCACCAGATAAACATTCATCTCGGGAACAACGTAATCGATTGACATTATTACTTCTTGAATATTGAATTAGTCAACTGCTTGTCTCTTTCAATCACTCATCAGTACGTAATGTCACACTATTGATTTACACAGGTTGAGAAATTGAATTTCAAGGCGAGTACAATGGATCTGTATCCAGTGTTAGTTAATAGCAACTAACTCATGCGTAATTATACCAGATAAGGGGTTCGGTGTGCATAGAAGGGCTTCGTGTCTGGACCATTCTTGTTATATAAAGCAATAGTGAACAAAGCTTTTTTTCGATAGATTCTTGATCTTGCTAATATAGTCATATATTAAGAGTTTTAAAAATGATATGCTATTGCTAATTTTGTTTGGTTGATTGTGATGTTGCGATTTGCGTTTTGGAAATGAATGAGTAAAGTTGTGGCTTGTTTTCTGCTTTGGAGGAAGCTCTCAGTCGACAGATTGAGTTGTTTACCCCATTTCTAATCTGTCACTGGATCAAACCGCAAATCACGATTATTTCAGTC